GCTCACTGTGGAAGAGGAATGAGGTGGTCAGAGTGAGTGTGGGGTGGGAGTGCCAGCATCACTCACTCACCTGGCCAACTGCTTGTCACCTACTGTGGGCCAGATGTGAAGCAGAGGCCCCAGTGGGGGTTATATGGGAGGAGGCAGGTCACCGCCTCACACGGCCCAGAGGAGGAAGAGTTTGCGGAAGGGGAAGGGAGCTAAGAGCAGAGGCACACGGGTGAGTGTGTGGAGAAGCGATCCTGGAAGGGAGCATTAAGTTATCAGAGAGTTGAAGGCTAGAATGCCTTTTGCTGGCTTCAGGAGGGCCCCCTGGTGGTGAGGGTGTTGATGGGCCTATAAAAACCCACTGCCATCTAGTCCATTCCAACTCACAGCGACCCCCATCGGGTTTCCCAGGTGGTAAATCTTTACGGAAGTAGATTGCCCCGTCTTCCTTCTGTGGAGTGGCTGATGGGTTTGAACCACCAACCTTCTGGTTAGCAGTCAAATGCCTTAGGCACTGCGCCTCCAGAGCTCCATGACTGCCATGTAAGACCATCATTATTCATCCCCGCAGCTGCTCAAACCCTGGACACAAACTCTGAAGAGGGGGGACATGGGTGTGTGTGTAAGTGTGTGTGTGTGTGTGTGTGACCTGCTGGGTCAGTTCACTTTCTAGGGGTCCCTTAGGGTAGAGTCTATGTGGTGACATTGGGAGGAGAAGGCTGCAAGGCCCATGGTGCGGGGGATGGGGTGTCTGGAAGACGGAGTCTTTTCCTCAGTCCCACCTTCAAACAGCCGCCAGGGGCTGAGGGATGTGTTGTCTCAGGCATGTAACTTTCCTTCCCTGTGCCTCAGATTCCTCCTTTGGAAAATGGGATCATTAACAGTGTCACCCTGGAAAGTCGTTATGAGGATGAAATGACTTAACCTCTGTAAAACAGAATCACGTCTAGCATTGTAGTGGGTGCTCAGTAAATGTATCCATTCAACAAATGCTTCCTAAGCATCTACTCTGCCAGACAGCATTCTTTCTAAAAATGGTTAGTTACCACCGGTTTAGGAGCTCTGGTGGTGCAGTGCCTAAGGCACCTGATTGCTAACCAGAAGGCTTGCAGTTCAAACCCACCAGCTGCTCCGTGGAAGGGAGACTGGGCCATCTACTTCCATAGGATTTACTGCCTTGGAAACCCAATGGGGGTTGGTATAAGTCGGAGTCAACTCGATGGCCGTGGGTCTTTTTCTTTTTTAAATTACCAGTTTAAATCTTAACTACATATCAGATCCTCTGTGGATGAATGCGTTCATTGAGCGCTTTACTACACGCCCAGCCAACCAACCAGCCAGTTGGCATTACATTTTGACT